TTATTATTATTTATTTTTTTTTTTGCTTTCCCGAAAAAGTCAGTTTCCGAGTCCTGGGAAAAGTAAGGTGTTCAATATGTGCATTTTGTTTACACACATTCTCATGTTAAGTGATGCATAACAGATACAACATTTATATTTTCTTTCTAATGATCATAGAGAGTAGAAGAGTATGTTTTGTAAACAGGGTCAAGCAATAATATCTTAATGTTCACTAACAGAAGTTACGCAACGGTGGTGCTGAATGCAAGAGAAGAGAGAAGGTCTCTGGTATGGGACAGATACTACATCTGTCACATCTGCTTCGACGGGGAAAAAAACCCTCTCCTCCTCTGCCAATCCCTACCCCCCGGAAGAATCCGGAAGGAAAGCCCTTGGCTAGGGATTGAAAAACAGCGTTACTTGAATAGCTCGCTCAGTAAATATCGAGTGTTTCCTGATATTAGCGATTAGGAGAACAGATACTATACTGTGATCCAAGACCTATGGCTAGGGATTGAAGAACAGTATTTAGTCACCCACCCACAAGGGCATCATGTGGCACAAGGCCGGTTTAACGTGGGAATTCCGAGCCCATGGGATCTCCGAGCCCGTGGGATGTCAGTGCCCGTGGGATCTCAGAGCCCGTGGGCTTGGCCAAAAATTATGCCCTTTGAACCCGTATTAACGGGTTCAGGGTCGGTTTACCTCCCCGAAAGAGACTCCGCCCTTCCGGCGTAGCCTCGTTCGGGTTCCTCCGTGCTCGAAGGCAGAGAGTTCTACCGATCAGCCGGTCGTCCGACTTCAGACTGAACTAGGGATTGAAGAACAGCGTTACTTGGATTATTCGGTCAATAAGTGTCGAATGTTTCCTCATAAGTAAACGGCTGATATTACCATTAGAGATTAGGAGAACAGATACCACACCTTGATCCCAGATCTATGGCTAGGGATGGATTGAAGAACAACGTTACTAGGATTATTCGGTTAATGAGTGTCGAATTTTTCCTTATAAGTAAATGGCTAATATTACCATTAGCATTACCATTCAACAGATATATTTTTTATCTAATGGCACATATCTAAAAAAAAGTATTTTTATTTACACTATTGTCCTCATTTTTGTTGTTTTTATCACAGTGTTTCTGCTGGTGTGATATCCGGTCTTCATCAGGTGTATATTGATTTGAGTAAGCTATAGCGAATTCAGAACTGAGCCCTTTATTTAATTTCCGGGGGTGGACTATTCTCGTGCCATTGCCCTTGTCTAGCGATATCTCATCCTGTACACACCGCCTGGCCCAGGAATCGAACTCCCAATTACTATTTTGCCAAAGCCACTAACCAATGCTTTAAGCAGTTTTTTTTATGACTTATCAATCTTTTGCGGGTCATTTAAAGCCATTTTTTTACAGATTTAAATAATTTTTAGGAGATATTTTACTGATACAATTCTGACAAATTAGCTCCTAGCTGTTAGTAGACAGGCGATGGATTCATGTCTTTGCGCATGCGTGATTAAAACGAACTCGACTGAAATTGGAAATCAGAGAGATTTCCAATTCTGGGCCGTTATCCATTACACCACTCGCACATCCAAGTTTACAGCGGTCACCTATCTATGGGCTGACCAGACTTGACGTTTCTTAACTTCGGTGATCGTGCGAGAACAAAAGATTCAACATGATTTGACCGTAAGCCAAAAATGACGGGGAAAATATTCGAAATAATTTAAATAATGATAATTAATCATCCCAAAAATACAGCCAAAAATCATTTTTGTTTAGTCCCTAGTATCCTCAGCATCTTTCTGTAGAACCACATATTTGTTGCCTAAAGTATTTTCATTTGTGAATTGAATTAGCCAGCATTCACTGCCATATTGGAAGACCGATATTAAGTAACAGTTCAGTACTTTTTATATTGTGTATTCTTTGTCTCATAACACAGATTTCTCTGTGCCATTTTTTTTTTGTTTTTCTTTAGATACTGTGTCTTCTCTATAGGTTTTTATATGTCCGTCAGAATATTAGCTTCCCGGATTTCTAAGATATGTTCATGATGATGACTAAGTCATTTATCGCCATGTCGCCATTTGTAATACAAATATAATCTACCGTGGAAGATGCTTCTCAATCTTATGATGCCGATCTCTGTATTTGTTGGCTGTCAAGATTTGACAAGCAAACACTAAAGGTCTAAAATTTTAACATGCTGTTTATATATTCTAAATATTGGATTGGCACCATTTTTTCTTCTGTTTGCCTGGCAATTCCTGGCAAATAGGCTTTGGTCTTGTGCAGATATTATAAATTCCTCAGTCTCTTTGAACTTTGCACATTCCAACCAGGACAATTGTGAGTGCATATAGTCCATGTAGTTCTTTTTTTTATACCCAATTGTCCATGATTATTATTATTGTTATTATTATTATTATTATTATTATTATTATTATTAATGAAATAAAAACCATCTTCTTAGCATTATGGCTGATTTAATTAATGCTATCATCTGGGTAAAGCCCAACATTTTCAGTTCTTCGCAATTTCACCTCGTCTCTAAATGATGGTTCACAGCTCTCCAACGAGACAGGGAAAACGGATAGATAGATAGATAGATAGATAGATAGATAGATAGATAGATAGATAGATAGATAGATAGGGAACAGATATAGATAGATTGCTCTCCAACGAGACAGGGAAAACGGACAGATAGATAGATAGATAGATAGATAGATAGATAGATAGATAGATAGATAGATAGATAGGGGACAGATATAGATAGATAGATAGATAGATAGATAGATAGATAGATAGATAGATAGATAGGGGACAGAGATAGATAGATAGATAGATAGATAGATAGATAGATAGGGAACAGATATAGATAGATTGCTCTCCAACGAGACAGGGAAAAACAGATAGATAGATAGATAGATAGATAAAAAAACAGAGTGATATAAGATAGATAAATAGATAGATAGATAAGGAACATATATATATATATATATATATATATAGATAGATAACTAGATTCGTTTCGAATTTTTGATTTGCTATTCAAGTCAATCTCGAGGGAAAAAAACTTTCCCTGACGATCCATTTAGGTGAAACCTAGGTAGGTTTGTCTGGCTTACTAGGTGTATATATATATATATATATATATATATATATATATATATATATATATATATATAGATAGATAGATAGATAGATAGATAGATAGACAACCAACTAAACATATAGTTATTTATATTACATATTAATATTACATTGAAAACGGCGCGTTAGACATATAAGCATTTATTGACCGTTAAAAAGGCAAAGGTCCAATTGAAAAAAAAAAACAGACCGCCGGAAGATTGTGTTACGGCAATGCTGATTAATTCCTCACCTCTCTCTGCTGTGAAAATAATCTTTTCTTTCCATTTGAACACTGACCAGATCACCGGTCTCCAATACCCGGACAAGAGAGAAGACATTAGATTCTTTAGAGAAATGATCTGTGGAACCATGGCTACAATCAATTTGACGGAAATAGCCTGGAGACTTTTTTTCTTGTAAAGAAAGCAATGTGTCTTCCTATGTTCCTGACATTATGACGCGCCCTGAGCGCAATTAGCAAAAACCGAATATTTTGAAATAGATCCATTTTTTTTTAAATTTTATTTCCTTTTTAAAACTATTTTTTTGTTAAATCATCAATGATAGACAAGTGGCCAAGAAATAGAAACAAGAAAAATAAAGTAAAATTGGAAGAAATTGTTGTCATTAGAATTTTGTCGTTACTGTCCTCTTATAAAGAAAAATATTGAACATTAAAAAAAAATGGATGTTCATTGACTATATTCTATTTTGGTTAAAAATAAGCTTTTCTCTCGGACGAATGTTCCATTACGAAAGCAGACAAAAATACTTCACGTACGTTTGAGATTGTGTGCTTCAAATTTAACGAATGTTATTGAAAATCTCGCAAATAATAAATAGTAAAGAACTGGAGTTAGACATCTGTTGCTTTCAGCGACATCGATTACTCTAGAGTCCCAACCATTTTTATATCTGAGCCGCATTTTCGGAATGAAAATTTGCTCGCACCTCACCAATTTTTATGTGATAAAAAGAAGAGAAAGAGTTAAAGGGAGATAACCGGATTTGAATTAAAAACATTATCATTGATAACTCTCTTCTCCAATTTACAGACTCTAGTTACTATATTCTTAATACTTGATATAACGCAAAAATATTACAACGATAAAAAGGACATTTAAAAATAAAAAATAAAACCATTGACTAATATTGTATTAATTATAAAACATTATACAAATAACTTATAATTAGACACAATTATGTGCCATGCGTGATACATCTTTAGGCGATCATGTATCGTTCAATACATGACTGACAAGACAGATTTTTTTTCCTGCAGTAGGTTGATTGAACTATTTAAATTTAATGAAAGTTATAAGCTCGTTTTTGACGGGTAATCTCCATTATATCAGGCTTAATTTCAGATAAACAATCTCTCGGCTCTTAATCAACACAAAGAAGCCATTCCCTTTTTTGGCTTTGATATTTGCCAGAAGTGAAATTCCTTGTTCACAGGAATATGCTGTGGAGAACTGTACAAGAATGGATAAGGCTTTTGAATCTGTGAAATGTTGAATGAATTAATTTCAGCTTTTCTTATTAATAAATGTTATGTTTCCTTTCCAGGAATCTGTTCATTCTGTTGGTCAGGAAGATATGACGTCATCATCAGTGCTATACTGGCTCCCTGTCAAGAGTTTTTTTTTTTATGTTGGGGAACTGATGATAATCAGGAGATCAAGCATCGAGAAGTAAGTGTTTTTTTTTTTTTTTAATGGACAATCGATGTCTTGGGACGAGTGGTCAAAAGAAAGAAAAAAGGAAAGAAAGAAAGAAAGAGGAAATATAAGGAAGAAAGCTAGAAAGATAATATGAAAAAGAAAAAATGAAAGAAAATAAGACGTAAAAGAATGTGAAAAAGAAAAAAAGTGCATATTAAGAAAGGAAGGAAGGAAGGAAGGAAGGAAGGAAGGAAGGAAGGAAGGAAGCAAGAATGAAAGAGGAAAATATAAGAAAGCAAGCAAGGTAAATGATAGAAAACGAGGCATGTAAAAAGACCGCGGAAAAGAGGAAATGTCTAAGAAAGAAAGAAAGAAAAAAAGAAAGAAAGAAAGAGGAAAATATATGTAAAACAGCAAGAAATATAATTTGAAAAGAAAGGAAACCTGTAGAAAGACAAAGAGGAAATATGTAACAAAGAATGAAAGAAAGAGATAGAATAAAAAGAAAAGAAAGAAAGAAAGAAAGTTAGACGGAATATTTTGATGAAAAAGAACAAAAATAATAAAAAAAAATGAAAAGAATTGAAACATAAAAGTGGAAAAAAAGATGGAAAGAAAGAAAGAAACAAACAAAGACGGATAAAATTATAATATGGAAAGAAAGAAAAAGGAAATAAAAGAAAGAAAGAAAGAAAGCAAAAAGAAGGAAAGAAAATAAAGAAAGAGGTCATATGAGAAAGAAAGAAAGACAGAAAGAGAAGAAAGGAAGCAAGAAAGAAAGGAAGAAAGGAAGCAAGGAAGAAAGGAAGCAAGAAAGAAAGGAAGAAAGGAAGCAAGAAAGAAAAAATGATGAAAGAAGGAAGGAAGGAAGAAAGAAAAAAGAAAGAAAGGAAGCAAGAAAGAAAGGAAGAAAGGAAGCAAGAAAGAAAAGAAGAAAAGAAGCAAGAAAGAAAAAAGATGAAAGAAGGAAGGAAGGAAGAAAGAAAGAAAGAAAGAAAGAAAGAAAGGAAGAAAGAAAGGAAGCAAGAAAGAAAGGAAGAAAGGAAGCAAGAAAGAAAGGAAGAAAAGAAGCAAGAAAGAAAAAAGATGAAGGAAGGAAGGAAGAAAGAAAGAAAGAAAGAAAGAAAGAAAGGAAGAAAGGAAGAAAGAAAGGAAGCAAGAAAGAAAGGAAGAAAGGAAGCAAGAAAGAAAAAATGATGAAGGCAGGAAGGAAAGCAGGAAGGAAGGAAGAAAGAAAGAAAAATCTGAGCAATTAAATGGAAATCTTGTTATTGAAAGATGTTCCCAAAAGATTTGATGTCGGGGGTCGAATCCACTAATTGACGATGTTGTCTGTGGCTCGCCCCATTCGAAAAGTTCGACGGAGGCAGTTTTCGGGTTTATTTTTAAATGGAGTGATATACTTTTCAACCCTGTCCTCTTTACCCGCTTCTTCTTCAGTACTTTCTATGATTCTGACCTCGATTGACTCGCTAATAAATATGTAAATATTCTTGCTATCGCTCAGTTCACTCGTGCCTATAACTTCGGAGATATACATCTGGTGTTTGTTATTCAGAATGTATTTTTAAAAAAAAAAGAAAAAAAAGTAAGACATGAATGATAAAATATATATATAAAAAAAGAATGGGAGTGTGAAATACGAGAGAAACGGAAAAGAAAAACAACGATGTATTTTAAGAAAACGTGGTAAAAACATTCGATAGGAAAACGACTTACCGCCATACTTGTCACGTGATTCGGAACATAACCAATAGATTCATTGCTAAGAGAGAGAAAAAAAAAGAACCTGTGTTTGTTTTTATGAGTGGTTTAGTCCTTCTCTAATTTAAGGGGTTTTATTTTCTGTTTTCTTTTATTTTTATTTTTATTCTACATGAGATGTTTTGCTCTTTTCTTCATTCTTTCTTCTTTTTTTCTTCGCAAGTTTTCTTCGTTCATTTTATTTTTCGTCTTTTTTCATTCATTCTTTCTTTCAGTATTTTCCCCAAGTTTTGCCATTCCTTCATTAGTTTTTCAGTCTTTTATTTCGTTTTATCCTTGCCTTTCTTTACTTCTTTACTTCTTAATTTTTTTTCTTTTTATTTCTTTCCTTGTATTTTTTGCTTTCTGTAACTTTTTATTTTTTTTCTTGAAACATATTTTTTTAGATTTCTTTCATAATTGCTTTTTCTTTCTTTTCATTCTTTAGTGTCTTTTTTTTCTTATTGTGTCTTTTTATTTACCGCGCGTGTCTTTATTATTGTTATTATTCATTCTTTTCATTTTCTTTCGTTTTAGCTTTTTTTTTAATATTTTTCCTTCTTTCTTGGCCGTCTGCATTTAATCTTTTATTTATTTATTTAATTATTGCTTTCTTTCATTCATTACTTCCAAATCTCTTATTTTTTTCACTTTTATTTTATCCTTTGGGTTCTTTCTTTTTTTCTTTCTTTCTTTCTTTTCTCTTTCTTTCTTTCTTTCTTTCTTTCTCATATCTCCATTTTTTTCGTTTTTTTCTTTCATAATATTTGATCACTTCTTTCTTTTAATGTTTTTCCACACTTTCTTTCTGTCTTTTTTCTTTCTTTCTTTCTTTCTTTCTTTCTTTCTTTCTTTCTTTCTTTCTTTCTCATATCTCCGCACTTTTTCGTTTTTTATTTCTTAATATTTGATCACTTCTTTCTTTTAATGTTTCCCCACTCTTTCTTTCTTTCTTTTTTTCTTTCTTTCTTTCTTTCTCATATCTCCGCACTTTTTCGTTTTTTTCTTTCTTAATATTTGATCACTTCTTTCTTTTAATGTTTCCCCACTCTTTCTTTCTTTCTTTCTTTCTTTCTTTCTTTCTTTCTTTCTCATATCTCCGCACTTTTTCGTTTTTTTCATTCTTAATATTTGATTACTTCTTTCTTTTAATGTTTCCCCAGTCTTTCTTTCTTTCTTTCTTTCTTTCTTTCTTTCTTTCTTTCTTTCTTTCTTTTTTTTTATATATCTCCCAATTCTTTCTTTCTTTCTTTCTTTTGCATATCTCCCAATTCTTTCTTTCTTTCTTTCTTTTGCATATCTCCCAATTCTTTTTTCTTTCTTTCTTTTTTCTTATATCTCCCACTCTTTCTTTCTTTCTTTGTTTCTTTCTTTCTTTTGTATATCTCCCAATTCTTTCTTTCTTTCTTTTGCATATCTCCCAATTCTTTTTTTCTTTCTTTCTTTTTTCCTATATCTCCCACTCTTTCTTTCTTTCTTTCTTTCTTTCTTTCTTTCTTTCTCCTTGATAGTCTATTTTTTTAGGTTCCAATGTATTTTAAAATTTGTTTTTCTTCTCTCACTATGTTTTATGCACTTCATTTTACGTTGTTTTTTTAAACTTCTATTTTTTTTCTTTTTATTTCCTTTCTCTGCGACAAATTCCCATAGTCCACTTTTTATAAAACACTTGTTACACATGTCTGACAATCTATTCTTGTAACTTATTCCTTGTAGTTTAAATCAAGCGAATGTTTCACTGCGATGAATTCTTATTTAATCATTACACCGGAATCAAGGAAATAAAGCCACTAAGACGTAAACTGTTCTCCCGTGCAAAAAGAAGGCGAGGAAACATTCTAAGCAGAAAGTACATTAAACCAACAGTTGCACATAAGATTAAAAGAATGGAGATTTGATAGAATGGCAATCCTGAACGTGTCACTGAGCTTAAAGATAACGGTTCCTACGAAACGGAATAATATTATGCTCTTATTCCAACTGATCAATACTGAGAAAATCTGTGAAAGTCTTCAGGTGTATCATGACAATTAATATAATTGAATGAAATCATTTAGCTACTCTAATATCTACGTATAGTGTGTCTCGAAGCTAATATGATGGCCACTGCATTTTGGGACCGGGAGATCTTCCACCCAATGGCGCCATTATTAATTTTGATTCTTTTATGTACTTTTTTTATGTGACGTGTCCCCTAAGTACGTAAGACATCATGGCCCTCCACGTCTTCCTGTCCCTTATAGTTCTTAATAAGTTTTGGCTTTTTTGTTATTACTCCTAAATCTACTTCTACCAGCTATTTACTCTGACCGTATTTCACTTACACCTGTGAGTATCAGATTCTCCAAGCCATCCTTCCTCAATACATTTTCAAGAAACTTCAACTGTCTCTTGTCAATGTTAAGTATCCGTTTGGGTTTCATTTTCTCTTAAACGACGTCGTTGCTCCCATGTTCGGTCCAGGGTATTCTCAGCATCTTTCTGTTGAAAGCCATTTCTGTTGCTTCAAGTCTTGTCGTACGCTTCGTCCTCTGTTTGAACGCTTCCCAGTTATTTAAATTTTTTTTTTTTTTACAAGGTTGATTTTTGTATCCCCGATTTTTAATTTTCATTTAAAAATCTTACATTATCAAATCTCAGAAAAAAAAAAGTTTCTTCTAGTGATACCCGACAGGAAGATGACAGACGAACTTTTACAATTTTTTCACAATCTTTACAGCAACTTAATGAGAAAACGAATCGCTGGACAATATAGAGTTATCCAGCTGACGATTCATAGCTGGTGTTTTCCGATTTTCCATTTTGAGTTCATGCAGGAACCAATCAGAGGGCATCGTTGCTGTTATGACGATGAAGTGAAAGAAACCTTAGACTCCCAAGAGAATAATAAATTCACGGCCCTTATATACTATAATGTGGATTAGTTTGGGAATTCTGAGGTTTTGTGTTCATTTCAGTTTAAATTCTGTGCTTCTAGGATTAAATCTGTTGCAATGAAAGAACATTACTTTTAAAAGAACATTCGTACAAGTTGAAAACGAATTCAATTATATCAGGGACTAGATTTCGAATCCTGAGAGAGCTGTCGTCTGTATTCATTGTTATGTATCTGTGCGCGCGCGAAATCACGGTTGTAGGGCGCAACATGGGTACTTCAGCTGCAGTAGAAATGCTGTTTCTTGGGCAACCTTGGCAAATGGTGTTTCTTGGGTAACCTTGGCAAATGGTGTTTCTTTGGGTGGCAACTAAATTCAACTCTGAATTCTTTGACCAGACTGGAGGAGGAGAAGAGGATGCATACCTTTCCCAAGGATATTAGCACGCAAGTTAATGTAATGGATTTGACTGGAATTCGAACTCGGCTTTCTGATTCCTCAGTCCGAACCGCTATCCATTGCTCCACCGTGTCTTCTCTGTGCATCTACTGTTCTCTGTGCATCAACACTTAAATAAAATCTAATTAAAAAACACGAAGCTTTGATGCTTTGAGATTAAACAAGAAAGCGACTAGTTTAAGCAGCCACAGAGCCCAGTTAATAACTAGATGGTTGACAGTTTGCGAATAGCTTGAATGTGCGGGTGGTGTAAATTGGAAAATGGCTCGGAATAGTATAATTGCAATTTCATTTTGGCTTCGTTATATTTACTTACAAGTAAGTACCCTTGGGGAAGATATGAAACCGTCTCTTCTCCCCCAGCTATGGGTAAATGTGTAAAACTTTTATTACTGTATCATTATTATTTCAAAATCAATCTGACAATTTCAAAATATTATCTGGTTTAGAATATCCTGTTAAATGTTGATAGGCTGTAAAAACGGATGAATCAAAAACTCACTGTTGGGAAGAAATACTGAAAAATTACAATAATTTCGTGAAAAAAGTTACACACGCGCGCACACACACACACACACACACACACATATATATATATATATATATATATATATATATATATATATATATATATATATATTCAATAAGTTAAAGGGTTTTGAAGAGAGTAGAATGAAGCATCGTCATCAGCTTCAAGCTCTGAAGCAGAGACGCCATCAAAATCCTGCTTGAACAAATTTCATCTGTCAGTGTGGCTTTGTCGCCCGCAAAAAGGCTGGCTCGGCTATTATCGCACTTATGAAAGCAGAAGTGAAATATGTCTATATATACGCTGACCATTAACCTTTTTATGCTTGATATATATATATATATATATATATATATATATATATATATATATATATATATATATATATATATATATACGCTGACCATAAGCAATTAGGAGTGACGACTTCCAGTCGAATTCATTACATTCACTTATGTCTTAATACCTTTGGGAAAGATATGAATCCTCTTCTTCTCCCTCCATCTATGGGTAAATAGCAGGACAGATTGGGTTTTATAGAGTTTGATGGCGACTGGTCAGTAAGAAGGACAACACTGAATTCAAAAGCTGCGGAGGGTCGTTTGGAAACTTGTGGCATGTAATACACCAGCTCCTGTATTCGGCCCTTCAAAAAGTGTGGGTGGTTCTGCACAAAACCTCCACCACTACAATCAAATCATGTGCTGCTGTCTGGGCTGTCGGTTCCTAGGTACTAAATTGCTTTACCTGCATATGTCGAATACGACGGGAAAATGGAATAAATACACACACACACACACACACACACACACACATATATATATATATATATATATATATATATATATATATATATATACACACACACACATACATACATATATATATATATATATATATATACACACACACACACACATATATATATATATA